GGCTGTAAGCCTCGGCCGGGGGGGGGGGGGGTTGCAGGGAGGGAGAAAAGAAACAGAATTAGCTGGTGAGGCAACCATATCATGAAGGGACTGGCGCAACAGAAGTTAAGACCCCGACAGCCTCAAGAATGCTAAGCTACTCAAGTCAGACTGCTGTAATTACAAAAAAATGCTGATTGCACCTGGCATAAATTGGCCAATTAAACATTCTGACTGTAATTAAATGCCTGGATGTGGTGGATCCATTTGAGATGACTGTCTCTAATATGGTGTCAAAACCCTTTTTGATCGAGACTACTTGAGCTGCTGGCAAATGAACAGATACAGTAGGATTTCATGGTATCGCCCATGATCCCAACTTGACCATGGATAGCGTTGCCCTTCCTTGGCCTCTGGTAAGGTTGCTTACCTCCAAAGAGATGTTCCCGTTGGCCACAGCCTCTCCTATATAGCTGAAAATATTCCTCTTCAGCACACATGTGACTTCCAGGTTACATCCAGCATTCACAGAAGCTACGGGATGTCAAGGAATGAGTTAATTCACACAAAAATTCAATGTCACAGTGACACAGAAAGGAATCGCTTGAAGAAACAAGCATATGCTAAACATCAGGAACACATGAAGGGACTCAGTGCTCTGCCAGAAAATTAGACACAAAGGGACTCTTCCAGAAAATTAGACACACCCCTTTCCCAGTTCATCCCCATTCACCACGAGGGACTGCAGGGCTCAGTTAAAAAAAGGGTAATATAGCAGGTTAGTCTGTTGAATAACAATTTATAAGACAAGGAGTGCTTGGATCTATCTCGGTTTCTGTGTAAGGTTGATGAATCTTCACTCTGTGTGGCGAAATGTGTTATAGGTTTAGTGCGATTTGCATTCAAATGCCAATTTGAAATGCCACTTTTCATAAAACTGTTTCAAGAAATGTTTGAAATTCTTTTTAAAAAATATGAAAGAAATCCACTTCTCTGCTGGAGCTTCTCTTCTGAGGAAGAAAATTGAAAGCTTCCTGTTGGTGGAGGAAGAAAACTGAAAGTTTCCTGTTGGTGGAGGAAGAAAATTGAAAACTTCCTGTTGGTGGAGGAAGAAAATTGAAAGCTTCCTATTGGGAAGCTGTGATCCAGAAATGTCCCTCTACTGGGAAGTGCCATAGCGCTAAACTCTGTCCCAAAGAACAGATAGAGATTCAAAAAAATAAAATACAAAAAGTACAAAAAGTACAAAAAGTCACAGATTTTAGAACTACAGCAAGCTTTACGTCAGTGGTCCCCAACCTTCGCCCTCCAGATGTCCTTAGACTACAGCTCCCAGAAGCCTTCACCACCACCTCTGCTGGCCAGGATTTCTGGGAGTTGAAGTCCAAGAACATCTGGAGGGCCAAGGTTGGGGACCACTGCTTTACGTTCTATATGTGGTTGAGAGGATACTGATAAGAATAGCTCTGAACTAGGTACCGCATAGGGGACAAATGCATACAGCCCTAAGGTGATGCTACGGGCTCAGCTACAGGAAGCTGCTAGGATAGGACTGAAAACGATATTCCATGTTGCGTGGTGCAACTCACCAACCGCTGTCTCCAGGATGCTCTGGGTGTAATGGTGCGCCATCATGATCAACTCTATAGCTCCCTCGTCGCTCACCACGTAGCCCTGAAAACCCCATTCTCCACGGAGAATATCTGTCAGCAGCCTCTTGTTAGCACATGCCGGGACTCCGTTAATCCTGGGACAGATAAAACCATTTATTTGCAGATTTTAGAGCATGGCCACCCTTGGAATTCACTTCTGGATCCTTGTTCTAAACACCAGTGACATTATTTGGTAGTTCTATGCCATGCCTGCTGGCTAGATAGCTCAGCGGTTTAGGAATCTGGTTGCAGAGCCGGTGATTTGGAGTTTTATTCCCCACTGTGCCTCCTGGGGAAAGAACCGGCCTGGGTAGCCTTGGGCCAGCTGCATAATCCCAAAGTAGCCCCAGAAGAAGGGAATGGGAAACCACTTCTGAGTATTCTCTACCTAGAAAACCCCGAAAAGAGAGTCACCATGAGTCAGAATCAACCGGATGGCACACTATTATTATTATTATTGTTGTGGTGGTAAGGTAAAGGTAAAGGTTTCCCTTGACAATTTTTGTCCAGTCGTGTTCGACTTTAGGGGGCGGTGCTCATCCCCGTTTCCAAGCCATAGAGCCAGCGTTTTGTCCGAAGACAATCTTCCGTGGTCACATGGCCAGTGCGACTTAGACACGGAACGCTGTTACCTTCCCACCGAAGTGTTCCCTATTTATCTACTTGCATTTACATGCTTTCGAACTGCTAGGTTGGCGGGAGCTGGGACAAGTGACGGGAGCTCACTCTGTCGCGTGGATTCGATCTTACGACTGCTTGGTCTTCTGACCCTGCAGCACAGAACTTTAAGGAAGCTGATTTTGGTATCTGATAAGGAAAAGTTGGGTGAGATTTCATAGTTCCAGATACTTAGAAAGGAGCTGAAGGTGTCTGCCTCACGAAGCTGGGCTAACAGACAGATTATCTTCATCCCCAATGTAAATACACAAGCCCTACTGGGCTATCTAGCCAGCTGTTTTCCATCCTAGGCGGTTGCATTTACCCAGCAACAAACCAAAAACTTCTCTAGAGCTCGGATTTGAACAAAATATGCAACCTTACATCTTGCATCCTGCTAGGATTTTACTGGCATCCCACACTTAGAGAGCGGGCATCAACACACGTACATACCTGTTGTAGCTGCACATGAGGCTGAAGGTTCCCGCTCGAACGCAGGCTTCAAATTGAGGCAGGAAGGTCATGCGCCAGTCACGCTCGCTCACCTGGCAGAGAGCAGAGGAGAGACGTCACCCTCTCCTGGCATCCTTAAGCACTGTTTGCAAAAATCTCCATTCATTCTCACAACGACCCTGTGAGGGAGGCTAAACTGAGGCAGTGTGACTGGCAGGACCAGGGTCAACTGGTGAGCTTCATGGCTGAATGGAGACACACGCACCCAGGTTCAACCCATTCGAGCATGCTACTGGTTTCGGAAGTTTTCTTCTGCTCAAAGGCAACAGCCAGGATCCTATTAGTTAAGTACATCAAATGATTTGTACATCAAATGGTATAAATTGTGTTGGGGGATTGTTTCTTATTGGAAGTTTTCTTCTGCTCAAAGGCAACAGCCAGGATCCTATTAGTTAAGTACATCAAATGATTTGTACATCAAATGGTATAAATTGTGTTGGGGGATTGTTTCTTATTAAGAAGTAGATGCTTGTAATCCTCACTGAGTGCTAGCCACATGACTTGGCATGCAACAACAAAAAGATACAAACATTGATTTCTTAACTAGCAGTAATTCCCTACTACAATTGACACGGTTTGACTGTATGCCACGAGGATGGGTTCCAAGCCCCCTCATGGATGTTGAGAAATGCTGATGATAGTGAACACTATTATAATACCACTTGTGAAAATACATTTCACTAGTGAACACTATACATAGTATGGTGTCTGGCTCCCTCCTGTGGCCACTTCTGGTAACTTCATTGTTAGAAATATATGTATTTGGGTTTTTTCTTTCTTTTAATATTTTCAGACTGAGGATAAGTGAATCAGCGGATACAGATGCTAGAGATACTGAGATCCTACTGTACACAAATAATAAGAATCTGGCCTCTGTGTTGCTCTTGACTGAGTGGTTTTACATCGCACATGGCATACAACTCATTCTGAGAGTTTCCTTATCGCCACCCTCACCACCTGAAATCCTTCCTGACAATTTCTGCTACAGTTCCATTAACTTGACCAAGGGTTATTCAGGACCGGATGCTCTAGCTGTGAATTTCATGTTTTGCCAGGGGGTTGGACTAGATGACCCACGGCCCCTTCCAGCTCGGCAGTTCTACATTTCCTCGCCTATGGCCATCTCCATTTCCATACACCCACCCACACACTCACACACACAAGCCCCTCTGACTTCCACTGACCTTGGCATCAAAGGACAACCGGGAGGTGGGGATATTTTCGGGGCCACCGTGGACATCGAAATGCTTGCAGCCAGCGCTGGCCTTGACGTAACGAGGGTGGTCGCCCTGCAGGCCCTTCACGAAAGCCACCCCCAGCTCTGCGGTCAGGAATGGGTCCTCCCCATAAGTCTCCTATGGGGACAGAGGGTCAGACAGAGACATTGCTTAATCTTTGGTCTGCTTTGCCTTCTCCTTCTGCTTCGCAACTGGAAATACCTTCCTTCCTTTTTTCTTCCCCCGGGATGAGGACCAGGTTCACACGTCCGCCCGAGGAAACTGAAGCCGAAATTTCAGAACTCTGCAATGCAGACAACCCCAGCCAACAGAAAGATACACAACAGGTTTGCAAGCCTGGAGAGCTTGCCTTAAGAGCAAAGCATCTTGTGGTGGCCTATAGAGTGGCTGTTTTTAGCGGGCAGAGGTTTTCATGGACGCCTTCAGGCATCTTATCTGAACCCGGCTGCCATCCATGGAATGATCCCGAAGAAATCATGTTGGCTTCAGAGGGAACCACTAGGCCCTCTGGCATTTTCCTCTCGACAACCAGCCCAGTGGCCCCTCCAGAAATGATGGCTAAATCCGTGCTTTCTCTTTCATATTATTCCCCAAAAGCCGTTCCTGCTTAGCTCTCTTAGGTCATTCCCGGCTCCTCCTTTTCTTTTTGGAGCCCTTCGCACCTGGTTCCTGCCCCACAGCGGGTGGCGCATGATGTTCAACACGGGGCTGAAGCAGCTGAGGCCGGTGTGGTCCTCGTAGTTGCCGATGGAGACAAAGTGGTTGTGTTTGGCCCGGACCTCCGTGGCCGTGGCGTTGGCCACCCTGTAGATGAGCGAAGGGCTAGCCAGAGAGAGAAGGAGATAAATTGGATAAGAAGCTCGCACACATTGGCTCCCGAAGGCCTCAATAGAAAGATTGCTTTGATCGCTCTTTTATAGCCTGATTGCTGCTCTCCGACATTTCCGGAGAGGGTGATTCATTCGTTTTGTGCACACCAGCTTGGTCTTGTAATACATCTGTGCAATAATCTGCCCATTGAAATGTTTCTCTTTCGCAACATGACATTACAGTGGTGCCTCACTAGACGATGATAATCCGTTCCACTGAAATTGCTGTTTAGCGAAATCATCGTCTAGCAAAAAGCATTTCCCCATTGGAATGCATTGAAACCTGTTTAATGCATTCCAATGGGGAAGAATCGTCATTGTGTAGCGAAGATCGTCCATAGGAAAGCTGCTTTGCGAACCGCCAATCAGCTGTTTAAATCGCTGTCTTGCGAAGCTTAGATCCAGAAAACACCTGTTTTGCGAGCACAGAGGAAGCTGTCAAAGTCGTTGTCTAGCAAAAATCGGTTTGCGAAGCAGGGACAAAACATTGTCCAGCGAAATTCCCCCATAGGAATCTCTGTTTTGCGAATCGCTATAGCAATCGCAAAAAGTAAATATCTAGCGAAAAAACTGTCATGCAGGTAACTGTCTAGCGAGGCACCACTGTACTTGTTTGAAAGGAGCTGGTCTGGTGAAAGAATTACATATTGTAGACGTACGGAGAACGAAATATCAGATACAAAGAGGTTATACACATTTCTCAAATAGACATTAAAAGATGGTCAAGAATTGATGCCTGCTGGATCTTGACAAATTTGATGAAAGAAAAAGAAATTATTGCAAATACTTTTGCAGACCACAGTCCAATATTACTGCAGTTACAGACATCTTGCAAAGTTCAACAATGGAGATGAAATACAATTTTTCTTTTTTTAAAAATGAAGATTTTCGAAAGCAAATAAGAGAAGAAATGGAAAATTTCATCAAAATAAATATCATCCTAGAAACACCTGTAACCGCAGTATGGGAGGCATAAGATTTGCCACAAGATTAAAAAGGTAAAAGAAACAAAAAATATAGAGAATTGTAGGAAAATTGGAACTAAGTGAATGTCAGTTTAAACAAAACCCATCAATAACACATTTGAAAATGAAGATTAAGCTAAGAAAATGAAACATTTGAAAATGAAGATTAAGCTAATGCAACATCAATTGTATTGTCCAAAACCACAAGATGACTGCAGAAACCTACACCATTCTAAATAATGCCTTTGAAAAAAGCAGGGCTACCCATATTGTAAGACATCGGAAAGGGTGCCTCTGGGAGGGCCACTCTTTTCCCGGCAAGCAACGTCCAGGACAGGAAGGTGTCATCAGCTGCGTACCTGCCCATGATGTCGAAACCCCAAGCAACAGGATAAAGATGCCAGCGCAACCTATCCCAAAGGGGATGGATAAGCAAAGGACGAGTGAGAAGATGTAGAAGAGGAACAGAGAAGAAGAAACACAGGTGGTAGCTTTTGCCTGGGGAAGAGGGACATCATCGCTGCAGCATCCATACCTGAAGGAGGCCGCCAAGCCCAGGGCTTGGGGGAAGGCAGTAGCCCAGCCTGGAGCATCCACATCCCCACGGAGGCATTCTGTGTTCCAGATGTATGGCCTGATGCCTAGCCGCTCTATGGGTGGTGCTGGGCCATTCCACATAACTCCCCCTTTTGACATCTGTGGGTGGAGATTACCAAGGTTCAGTTGGCATCCAGGACAGCCCAGAAACCAGGAGTAGCAAAGTCGATTCAGAAGTGGAAACACTTGTGGCCATTCCCCTAGCCAGTCTAACTCATCTTCACTTGCATTCAACTCACCGTGAAACTGCACTAATGAGCTTTAATTTCCTTGGGTCCCTCTGCATGAACTAACCACAAAAGGAGAGGGGAGGAAAGCCTTGTTTGCAGCTCTGTTTTGGAGCTACTTAATCAGCTGTAAACAAGGACTTCCTTCCTCATTTCCCCATCTCATTCTATATATGCATTCACAGCAATCACTGCCCTAAAAAGGGTGGTTCTCCAGTATGAATGGTTTTCAAAAGGTCTCAGCCAACACAAGAGGTCTCTGAATGGATACCAGCCATGATGACAGCAGTCAGGGACTACAGCACGAAAAGTTATTGTCCTCAGTCCTCAAGGTGTGGTTTCTCAGACACGACTGGTTGGCCACAAGTGCAAATAGGAATTTTTTTTGTCCATTCCAGCAAAATGTCATGTTGAGCTCGTTAGAGCTCTTGGGTCCCCTTGGCCAGACTGCCCTCAATCAAGACACTACCGACGACCCAACCCCATCTGATACCTGCAACACCATCTCGTCCAGCGTCAGCCTGTTCACCAAATCATCCAGCCGCTCCTCCCAGGGTAATGTGGGGTCCCTGAAGGGGAAGTCCTGGCCCCGGCTCAGCATGGCCAACAGGAGTACGGCGGTGAGATACGGCACAGCCATGACTTCTAGAGAAGCAAAGGAAAGAAGCATGGACGCCTAGCGGACCTTCCAGAGACTCAAAGCCCATCCAGCTGCAGACCATCTCTAAGTCTTTTTTCTTTCTTGGGATGGTATTTGATGGGAGACCTAAGAGTCAACTTTGGATCCTTCAAATCCTACCAACCTGCAAAGCTTCTGTTCCATCTTGGAATGACGTTTTGATTTAAGGGGTGAGGGTGAACTGAAGGCAATCCCAGAAGAAATTTGAGGTCATCACTTCTTGTCCTACCCTTATGTTCCTAAGGTTTCTATCTGCTCACCGTATATCCCACCGTTTTCCAAGGCTGGAGGTCCATCTGGCACACAAAAAGCCAAACACATGGTAATCATGTGGCTGGTTGGTACAACTCAGGCCAACGAGACACGGGTTAACAGCCTGGTTTTCACCATGAAAAATGACCTAGCCAGTCTTTCTATTTTGGCCTAAATCCATCTAAGCAGGAGTACAAATACAGAAGGCCTACTCTTTGGAGAAACGGCAGGATTGATAATGATGATGTGCCATCAATTCTGACTGATGGTGACCTGTTCCTGCATGTTTTCCAGGTAGAGAATACTCAGACGTAGCTTCTCCTTCCCTTCTTTTGAGTGTATGTGTGGGTGTCCCTGGGGACTGTGCAGCTTGCCCAAGGCTACCCTGGCTGGCTCTACTCTCAGGGAGGCTCAGTGAGGAATCAGCCTCCCAACCTCTGGCTCCACAGCCTAATACTTAACTCACTGAGCCATCCTGCCAGGGGAGGATTGAGGTTGGGTTATTTTTAAGAGTAGATAAATAAAGACAAGGTAAATATATATAGACAAGAATAAGATCAAATAAATCTAAGTAAAATGAATTTACGTTCACACTGTAAAACAGTCATGTTCAGGGTGGGGCAACTCACTATTCCTGATGTTACCTGCAGAGGTACAGTCCTGGGTTAACATGAGCATTGGCATCCTTCAGTCTCGAGAGACTATGGTAACATGCTCTGAATCGAGGAGTGTCCTCTCCAGAGCATGAAGCCCGGGTAAGGTAATATGGAGGATAGGCTGTTACCCAAGCAGCAGATCCCCCCTCTCCACATTGCTGAAATGGTCCAATGGAAAGGCAAGAGCCAATACAACTGGTTCCAGCAATGTCGCAGGAGTTGGCAGAACGACACATGCTGCCTTCGGGACTCCAGCTCCGGATTTTGCCTCGAGGTTAACTCCTGAAGCCTTTTCCATGAGTGGATATAGCCACAAGGCAGTGGAGGTTTGAAATTGGAGTTTTCCTTCTCCTAGATGGGCTGCCTTCCATGGCTGACGAGCCCCACCTACCTGGGTTAACAAGGTGTGAAAAATAACTGAAGATTTATGGAGAGAAACATGCCCGCACATGACAGCATCTCAGCTCAGAGATATTGGAAAGAAAGACAGAGTTTTATGGCGAGGTAACACCTTTGATAGGGACGTGGATGGCGCTGTGGGTTAAACCGCAGAAGCCTCTGTGCTGCAAGGTCAGATGACCAGCAGTCGTAAGATCGAATCCACGGGGCGGAGGGAACTCCTGTCGCTTGTCCCAGCTCCTGCCAAACTAGCTGTTCGAAAGCATGTAAATGCGAGTAGATAAATAGGTATTTCCCTAAAATACGTGCTGTTCCAAGTATTATTCTTTCATTCATTCATTCATTATACCACACACTCCTGTCAGCAGCTCCCTTTCAGAGTGAAAAACAGGGTTAAAAGGTTTTAAGTAGAAGATGTTAAACAACAACATGTTTTACTGGCAAAGAGGGGAAGAGGAAAAATATTTGCAAACAGAAGCAGAGCGATGGGGAACTATGGTGGTTTCTTTCAGCATATATAACCAAAACAAACAAGCAAAGACGTCTAACAACACATCTAAGACTAATAGATTATTTTTTCAGCGTGAGACTTTGGAAATGGGAATGTCTTACAAAGCATTATTTATGGAAGCTCACAAGGAGATATAGCTATCTTAAGAGTGCCATAATATTTTGGGACGTTTGGCGGGGAGAGCTATTCTACAGGATTATTATAATAATAATATTAGAACAGCCGAGCTGGAAGGGACCCCTAAGGATCATCCCCTGTCAAGAAATCCCAGTGGGGAATCGAACCCCCAACCTTGGGCTCTTCGGCCAGAAACCTCAACCATGGAGCTGTCCAGCAGTTCTGATTGCAGCCTAAGACAATTTTAAAAAAGAAACAGATCACCATGCTGGTCTATGAAGGGGCCAGGAAACCCCTGAATCCACTGCTGGGCAATACCATTATTTAATAAAATTTATAAAATCTACTGCCAATTTCCTTTTAGATCTGATAATTTTTTTGCATCCATCCAGCTTTTCCAGTTTGACTCATCTGGGTCCCTTCATTACGGAGGCTGCCAGCAAATGTATGCATGCCGACAAACGAGTAGGACTCTCTGAATTGACGGGGGCTGAATGAGAGCCGCCAACAGTCGTCCTGTTCTCAGCAGAGCCCCTCGTGGCTACCGCCTCCCACAGAGTTTGGAAATTTTACTTTTGGGGGACTACACCCCCGGTGTTGCCAGCTGGGGATTCCGGGCATTGTAGTCCAAAGCAGGCCATGACTTCCACCTCCACTGCACCCCCCCTCTCCTTCTCTTACCTCCTTCCTCCCAGAGGCTCCGATCCGAAACACAGATCCTGCTCCCTGTGTGTCTCGGTCTGCCGGCACCTGCCCTTCTCTCACAAGTTGTCAAACCAGGATCGCGAGACACCTTCCCTTAAGCAACCCACGTCGCCGAATGTTTCTGCAAGGAAGGCAAAAACGCTCATCTTGTGGAGCCCCTCCTGGCACCAATCCGGCCCGCCTTCATGTCTTCCAGGGGCTTTGTAAAACATTTGTGCAATGTCACCTGGCTGGCTGGAAGGTGTTCTGCAAGGAGGGGGCTAAATAAAGCACATGCTTTTCCTAGCCCAGGCGTACCCAGTTTCCTGGGAATTTTTTCCACTCCTCTGGAGCAAAGCATCTGCCGTCTGGCAACCCTCCAAAAGAACTTATTAAGCAAACAGGAGGAGGTCCTGGTGGCGATGGAATCCTCCATTGGACAGGATCAGCCAGCCGAGGTGGCCTGCCAGGGGTCAGAAGGGTCGTCTTGATTCAGGTGAGCCTTTGAAACCAAAAAGAGAACACTACAGAAAAGTGTTTTGCCAGCTCCAGGGTTTAGATCTCTGGCTGGGGAGGTTGGGAGTTCAATTCCCCAGAGGTGCCTCCCGGACCGGGGGCTAGGCTCCGCAATGATCTACAGCAGTGGTCCCCATCCTTGGGCCTCCAGATGTTCTTGGACTACAACTCCCAGAAGCCTTCACCACCTCCTCTGCTGGCCAGGATTTCTGGGAGTTGAAATCCAAGAACACCTGGAGGCCCAAGGTTGCTGACCAATGCTTTAGAGAGTTCATCCATCTCCTATTGGGTCTTCCTCTTTCTTTGCTGCCTCCCGCCTTTCCCAGCATTACCCTTTCCATAGAATCCTGCCTTCTCAGGATAGGACCAAAATAGGGCAGCCTCAGTTTCCAGAGAAAGTTCAGGCTTGGCTTGATCTGGGATTCATCTTTTTGATTCATATTGAAAACATGGGATATCTGCGGAATACCTTTTGATGAGTAACCGTCTGTCTGAAGATACCCTGAGTGTATTTTTTTAAAGGGGATGGATGACCTGTTAACTCTACTAGTGAGGACTCTTCATACTTGATAGTCAGCGTGTGAATATCAAATGTTGGGATCGAACAAGAAAGAAGACACATCCATCACCCCTCTTCCGAATCCATATTCGTCTTGTGCCAACCAAGAGGGCATCAAAACGGATACAAGTTTCTGCATCTTTTTGATCCGCCAAGATTGCACAAAAGACAGCAGGAAAAGCCACGGGTGTGTGTGTGTGTGTCTAAAGATGAGATGGAGGAAAGGGGTGAGGCTCTTCCAATGAGACCCGTGACAGAAGTCAGACTTAAGTCACAGTGAATTCCCCCCCCCCCATGACTCAAACTCAACTTTTTGGAGGGAAAAAAAACACGCTTGTTTGTAATGGGGACTCAAATTCTTGGAGCTGACCCCAGGTGACAGATTTAAGTCACAGTGAATTCCCCCCCCATGACTCAGACTCAACCCACAACTTGGAACTTTTTGGAGGAAAAAAAAACTGCTTGTTTGTAATGTGGACTCAAATTCTTGGAACTCAGGACTTGGTACCAAAGACCTCACCTGGGACGTGGGACTTGCCAACGTCCCTGCCTGGAGTCATTCCTCGTGACACCAGGAGGAAGAAAGGGAGCCATGATGATGATGATGATATGGTCCTCTCTTTTTTTTTTTCCAACAATACAAAATCAGCCTGGAAACTCAGAACTCTCGTATCCTTAGTAAAACACCTTTTCTTGGTGCAAAACCCAGAGGTTTCAGACCAGAGGCGGAAAATAATTTTAGAGTCTCTTTTAGATTTTAAAAAGTCGTTAGATATCCGATAGGATGGCCGTTGTCTAGGGGTTCTAAGGAACAATGAACTGAATAAAAAATCTTGTGATCTCTGCAGGCTCACCCGGCTGGTTTCGTTGAGAGACATGCTCTGGGTTCGGATTTTCAAAAAGAGACCTGTACTAGTCTTCAAATGGACCACAAAAAAACAAACGAGAAAGCCTTCACGGCGATCAGGTTTATTTCAGGATGAGTTTTCACACCGTTTTCCTCGGATCTGGCAGAATTCTTCATTTCCACCCTCACTCTCCACAGATCTTCGAGAAAAGAAAACCATCTTGACATACTGATTTTATTTATTTTCATGTAAAAAAAAACCCCTAAAAATTACATTTACAATTGCAGACACAGACAAGACATAGATATGTATTCGCGAAGGCTTTCATGGCCGGGATCTGATACTTGTTGTGGGTTTTTCGGGCTCTTTGGCCGTGTTCTGAAGGTTGTTCTTCCTGACGTTTCGCCAGTCTCTGTGGCCGGCCATCTTCAGAAGACAGGAGTAGCACTCTGTGCTCTGGTGCAGTTTGTTTGGGAGTTGAGTATTTATAGCTGTTGGATCAGGTTTTTGTCCTGTTCAGGAGATGGGTGATTATGGTGATCAGTGTGTTTTTTTGTGTTCAACGAACTCTACCCAGCCGTAAGGACCAGTGATCACTACACACAAAAGACCAGCTAATGACACCCATCAATCACTGTGACAGATAATCTCTCCTCCTTATCACAACAATACACCCACAACAAAAACACAACCTGGTGGTAGATGTCCAGATGAAAGTTCATGATCCCAGCAATTATATAGGCAGTAAATCAGATTTTTTTCCCTGCATTTTCTTTAAAAAAATGAGCTTAATGAGCTTCCTGGTTGGTTTTCAGAACATTTATCAGGAGTGCCAGAAATTAGCACTGGCTTCTCTTGCGGGCGCTTCCGGAGACGCTGAAATCTGCTCGCAGGACGTTGGAAGGGACACGGGTTTCCTGGAAGGGCTGCTGCCCGCCGGCGAAAAGGCTGAAAGAGCCGGGCTCCAGGCGCCACTCCCCAGCCCAGACGGCTCTCTGGCGGAAGGAGAGCAGGAAGGGCACCTTGGTCGCCTGGCCTTGGGGTACCAGCACGCGACGGAAGCCGACCAGCTGCCAGCGGGGGACGGGCACGGAGGCCTCTCCCCACCGGAGGTAGAGCTGCACCACCTGCAGGGGGAAAAGAGCTCTTAAAGAGGGAACAAGGAAGAAAACGAGACCCTTCCTTCCTGGAAGGCCCCACGGATCTCCCCACACCCAGAGAGGGGGAGTGGTCTCGAAAACGCCAGAAGGACACTGCATGGGAACGTCATCTCAATCTAATCCAAGGACACCCAAACTACTCCCTGTGGCACTCCTTGCCTACCCATCCCCCATCATTTAAATCTTGTTTATGTTCATGATATAGAAAGCATCATCCTTCCTCAGCCACCGAGGTCCAGGGGTGAATGGAGGCCATGGAGCAGGCCAGCCCTCTCACCTCCTCGCCGTCTCGGGGGCCAACGTTCTCCACCACCACCGAGAGGCTGAGGTTCCCACAAACGGGCACCACCTCGGCTCCCAGCGCCAGGTCGCTGTATCGGAAAAGGGTGTAGGAGAGCCCGTAGCCAAAGGGGTACAGCGGAGGATCGTCTCCATAGTAGCGGTACGTCCGTCCAGCCATGGTGTAGTTCTCCATTGGGGGGACCTGTGGGGATGGAGACCGAGAGACAAAGTTCAGGAGAGAAGGACTGCCCCGCCTAGTGAATGAAGATGGGCATGATCGGGATGAGAGTTTCCGCATTCGATGGAAAGGATCCAAGTGTGATTGCCGTCTTAGAACCGGCACAAGAAGCAACACAAGACTGACTATCTGTCCTGCAGAGTCAGCGATGTGACACCTTCCTCACCATTGTGGCATCAGGGTATCACAACAAAGCCACCATTTGTTCAGGGCTCTCCACCCCTGACTCCCTTCCTCATCAGCCAACAATTCAACAATGGTGGTCTTGGTTGGTGAAGTGAATGAGTTTTGCTTCCCAAAGCTGATCGTGATCCTCAGAGCCACACTGACATCCAGCGACTTTGCAGGCAACGACGGGCTTTGGATCACTCCCTTTTCGGAGAAAATGAAAATAATGCCCCTCTCTGTGAGTGCATGCAAACAGAAAAGTGCAGTTCATTGCATTGAGGAATGCTCTGAAGAAGATATTTTCGGCAGAATAAAGACTAAAACATTTTAGCAGTCCTTTAATGGCCTTTCCTCCCAAACTTCCAGCGCGGGGTCTTACCTGGTGCATCCCTGCCGGCCATGTGGCAGGGAGCCGGCCGGCCGGGTTGGCTCCTTCCTCTCCCACCAAGACCTTGGCAATCGCCAGGCCGGTGGCTTGAGCAGGAAAGAAACAGGCCAAGATGGCTCCCACCCCGTCGTGAGCTTTGGCCCAACTGACATCGAGGGGGCCTGCGTTGAACAGCAGTAGAATCACGGGCCGGCCGGCCGCTGAAATCAAAGCCACAAAGAAGATGAATTACAGTGGTGCCTTGCTTAATGATTGCCTCGCTTAATGAGGAAATCGCTTGACGATTAGGTTTTTGCGATCGCACAACAATGTTTTAAATGGGCTTTTTTTGCTTCCCGACAATCGGTTCCCTGCTTCGGGAATGGATTTTCGCATTATGATGATCTAAAAACAGCTGACCGTCAGGTTTCAAAATGGCCACCGGGTGTACAAAATGCCCCCCCACTGTTTTCTAGGATGGATTCCTCGCTTTACAGGCAGCAAAAATGGCCACCCCTATGGAGGATCTTCACTGAACTGTGAGTTTTCAGCCCATTGGAACGCAGTGAAGGGTTTTCAATGTGTTTCAATGGGCTTTTTTTTTTTTGCTTAACAAGGATTTCGTTCTACAGTGATTTCGCTGGAACGGATTATCCTCGTTAAGCGAAGCACCACTGTACTTCCTGAAGCTGGGCTTGTGCAAGCCGTGGCCCAGATGGTCTTCAGTGTCACCGAAGGAAGAGATCAGGCGATGCTTCGTCTCCACTGTAGCTCAGGTTAGCCTTCCTCGGTGGAAGCAACATCCCAAACTCACCCCAGGCCACAACATCCTGCAGGAGGTCCAGCTGGTGGCCCGGCAAGTCCAGGCCCTTCCGGTCCACTGCTTCCGTCTCCACATCAATTCCTGAACAGGAAGGACCAGGAAGTGTGTTACAAAGAACCCACCCTCTTCTCTTTTTCCTCCCACGCTCCATCCCACACACACCAAGTCGGCTGCTCTCCATCAGGGAAAGAACTTGCCATCTTGGGGCCCAGGGCTTTGCTCCCCAGGTGGAAGTAAATCCAATACAGGGACACTCAAGGTGGAACGAGTCTGGCCATCGCACCCTGAGGTCTACATATTCCTTCCCTTTCTTCTTTCCTCTTCCTGCATCAGCAGGAATAATGGTAAGAGCAACCTGGCAGCTGAGAAATAACTACATAAAAGAAAAGGTCCTTTTAAAAAAATGCAACATCCCAAACTCTGCTTCCTTCTAGTTCTTCACTTCAACACACAAATTACCCCTTACAAAGAAGTGTGATTTTGCTCTTGTGATGTCTTTCTTTGTTAAGCGTGCCCCTTACCGGTCCCCAGGCACACAATCGCGATGTCTGCGGCTTGTACTGCAGCTTTCACTTCAGCCGGGCGGTACCAGTCACACCTGGGGAAGGTGCATCCGGCGGCAAAGGTAACATTCCCAGCGATGGTCTCCAGGCCCCTCCTGCACCGGGCAGAGATGAGAGCAGCTCTTAGTTCTTCAGAAGGAGAGTGTCCGAAATTTAATTGTCCTATTTAAAATAGCTAGATTTGGCCTTGCAGAACTTGGGAGAGAAACATTCAGCCGGGCGGTACCAGTCACACCTGGGGAAGGTGCATCCGGCGGCAAAGGTAACATTCCCAGCGATGGTCTCCAGGCCCCTCCTGCACCGGGCAGAGATGAGAGCAGCTCTTAGTTCTTCAGAAGGAGAGTGTCCGAAATTTAATTGTCCTATTTAAAATAGCTAGATTTGGCCTTGCAGAACTTGGGAGAGAAACATACACACACCGGCTCGGCTGGTGTTGGTGTCACTTGCCATCTCCATGGCACAGCCAGACACACAACCAAGATGTGACAGCACCTCAATGATTAGCCGTGATTAGCTACAACAAGTCACACAAACATTGAATGATAGTCAACAGGATTCTGGCCATTGTACTCTGCCAAGGACCTCATCGATTAGCTGCTATTAGCTGTAGCAAGTCACACGATAATCAATAGGATTGTTGCCATTGCACTCTGCCAAGGACCTCATCGATTAGCCGCAATTAGCTGTAGCAAGTCACACAAACTTTGAATTATAATGAACAGGGTTCTGTCCGTTGTGCTCTGTCAAGGAGGACCTATACCCTGCCTCATATTATGTATGTGCCAAGCAACCAATTCCAGAATTACAGAAGAAACAGCACTACACTCATAGAAATCAATTATATGTGGCTGACGAGTTCTGTAGAGCCATACAGGTGAGTTAGACCATGCAGGAGTGTTTAGAACTACTAAGGAAACACAAAGCTCAAGACATAATTGGCTATGAACGTAGTTTCTTTTGGTCTCTCAGGCATAATGATGATTACTACAGTGGGGGTTGACCTTCACTGAAGATAGTTTTGAATTCTAAGGAAAGATCGGTGAGCTGGAGTGAGGAACAGGAGGTGGAATGAATTCCCTCCAGTTCTTACCTGGGTGTGAAGATGTACTGGGGTTCTGGGATCGGAGCGTAATCCCCAAAGAGAAGCACGGAATTGTTAGCAAAAGGGCCGACCACCTGCCAACGACAAAAAACAGGTCCGTGCCACAAGGATCAGGTGTAGAGATGGGGACGACTCGCCCTTTTGGCAGAGTCGTCTCGCTTTGTGAGTTGTCCAAGGTTGACGACTCACGAAGCACGAAGTTGCCCCCCACAAAGCGACAAATAACAATTGGGGGGGTTATTAAATAAAACATGATGGGTTCAAATAGCCCTGTGTGAAATGACATCCTGACCCTCCCACTGTCAAGAGGGCTTAATCTTAGGAGCAGTAGAAGCTGGTGGCTCCGGTTCCAGAAGGGAGGTGAAGCCACTCCAGGTTTTATTTCAAACATCCAAGAAGTTATCCAAGATGCGGTTTGGAAGATTACCTATTTCGAGGGCGAGGGTTCGGCACCTTAGATAACACCTATAGAGTTTGGACTAAAAGCCAGAAGAGATGGAACTCCCCATCCCCTGACACTGGATCTACAAAGTCTCCAATGACTGGGGGTCTCCAGTCCAATTGATGACCCCACCACCACCTCCAGCTGACGAACACTCACCGCAAGAGTCTTCTTTCGTACGTCTTCGGCCCGAAGAGGTAGAGTCCCATTCTGGTTTTTAAGCAGGACAAAGGACTGAATGGCCGCCTGGAGCGCCAGCTGGTGGTGGGCATCGTTCTGCACATCCTCAGGTCCCAGGGCATTGTAGGGGTTCATGGCTGGGGGGTCAAACTCCCCCAGTCGCATGCGGGTGCGGAAAAGCGGCCGGACACGGGCTTTGACTGTCTACGGGGGAGGGGGAGGAGGGAGAAGAAGCACCAGGTCAGCTGACGATGCAAGAACATAACCCAGGAATTGGGCTGGAAAGGGTCCAAAATGCTATTTTGTTTGCTTTGGGTGTACCTTCCGTTTGCAACACTGCCAAGATGAAGGAAAATCAGCAGGGCATCATTAGAAGCAAAGCAGGAAATAGTCGTTATGAACGTCAACAGTTCCAACATTGAGCCAACAAGAAAGAAGCCAAATGACTCAAAATCCACATAGGAAGGCACACAAACTCAGCCGCAGTAGAACGGCTTAAGTTCTGAAAGGTTAGAGGGGGTGGAAATACAAAGCACAGGCGAAAATGCAATACTGGTGGATGCCCTTTACTTTGTATTGCACTTTTAAAAAAAGCTGAGGGGAGCTGCTATAGCCTAGTGGCCTGACTGGGAAATCTTCAGCAATGAGACTGTATAGGACACTCTTGGGCTTCGTGGTATGATGAACCTGCTGTTCTTCTTTGGTGCCGGCTCCGTGTTCTCCTTATAAGGTATGGATACTTTCGACTCCCCTTTCCCCACTTTTTCACAATGGCCTTTCCTTTATACTACCGGCTTGTACCCTACAAACACTGGATTTAATACCAGAGATATGAGGGGGTACTGCTCTGCCCCATGAGAACTCCTCTGGCCCGGGGTCACCTCAGGAATGCCAAAAATAGCTCACATTTGGTCTGTGTGTGCACATTTTCCCCCCAAGGACAGCACGCATCACTGATCTAAATAATGATACATCCAAGTGCTTGTCTTTTCCCTTTCGCTTTGCCTGTTCTTTCTCCCTGATGCTATGACTTACCTCCAAAGAGATGTTGCCTTTGGCCACAGCTTCGCCTATGTGCGTGAAAACATTCTGCTTCATCCCATACGAAAGTTCCAGATCGCATCCGGCGTTCACGGAAACTGTGTTGGGAAGACGAAGATAACAGGATGAGGGCTCAATTTAACATTCGTTCGTTCACCCATTTATTTCACTTCTGTTCCACCAATTCTGGACTGCGGGGTCAGAATGGAGAAGCCAGCTAAAAAAGGGGATGCCGGAAGTGAATCAAGGATACAGCTGGCCTCCTGCCAGCACTCCCTAACCCATGGCACCGCTCACCGATCGCTGTCTCCAGGAAACTGTGGGTGAACTGGTGGCCCACCATGATCAGCTCTACGGCTCCCTCGTCGCTCACCACGTAACCCTGGAAACCCCATTCGCCGCGCAGAATGTCCGTGAGCAGCCTCTTGTTAGCACACGCGGGGACTCCGTTAATCCTAGCAGAAGAGCAGGTAAGGGTGATGAGAAGCAGTCCGTTCAGTCTTCTGAAATTCCGGTTTTCTAGGTCTCAAAGCGTTCAGCCGTGTCTCCCCAGTCCCTCCTAAAGGGGGCGCTCTGGGACCAAAGGGCCATTTGTCCAGGGCTTCCCAGGTAACAGAGCATGTGGACCCAATCCACCCAACGCCACTCCGTCCGGGTGATTTTAGCCGATTCGTCTCCCGGGAGACACTGCTGGGATTCAAGCAGTGCATGCCGGCGCTTCAACCCACCGAGCCATAACAGCTCTGATGGCGCAAGTGAAAGAAAAGGGTGGCCATCACAATTAACTGCGCCATTAAACCCGCACTAAATAGATTGCCACATTAACACTAAGTGAATGCAGTTTACAAACCACTTAAAAACAATAACTAAAAGCGGTACTGAAAAATAACAGCCCACTTTTAGAGCTTAAAATACAGTCGTGCCATGCTTAATGACTGCCCCGCATTATGACGAATCTTCTTTACGATGATGTTTTCGCGATTGCAATTGCGATTGCAAAACAATGTTTTAAATGGGAGGATTTCGCTTAGCAATGATCGGTGCCCTGTTTTGGGAACCAATTTACGACGATCAAAAACAGCTGATCGTTGGGGTTTCAAAATGGCCGCCAGGTGCTTAAAATGGCTCCCCGCTGTGCTTAGGGATGGATTCCTCACTATACAGGCACAAAAAATGGCCACTGTATGGAGGATCTTCGCTGGACGGTGAGTTTTCAGCCCATTGGAACGCATTGAACGGTTTTCAATGAGTTTCAATGGGCTTTTTCATTTCGCTTTTCGATGTTTTCGCTTAACAGCGATTTTCCTGGAACGGATTATTGTCGCTAAGCGAGGTGTCACTGTACAGTAAGACCCCCCCCATATCCACAGGATCACTCTCTGCCGACTCACTTATCCACAGTCTGAAAATATTAAAAAATGTGAAAAGAAAAATCATAGAAATATACAGTATATATTTCTAAAGATGACGTTACCACAACGAGCCACCACAGCATCCATGGGGAGAGGGCTTGGAACCAATCTCCCCCTTGATACAGGGATCCTACTGTATTTAAAAAAGTGTGAGATGCTTTCAATACGATTTTACGGCTTTCGCCCAGCCCTGAGAACGGCCAACAGGGGACGGTTAGAAACCTTTTAACAAATAAATCTGAACATGCATGCAGTTGTACGAATTTCCAGCCTATAAACGCCGTTCTACCCACCTTCTGTTGGGAAGGGGCAGTAGAGGTGGACGTACCTGTTGTAGCTGCACATGAAGCTGAAGGTCCCAGCCAGAACGCAGGCCTCAAACTGAGGCAGGAAGGTCATGCGCCAGTCACGCTCGCTCACCTGGCACACAGCAGAGAGATTCTCACCCTCTCCTGGCATCCCACTTAACCCTGCCTCCCCAGGCTTTGCTGTTAAAATGCCAGGTCTCAGGACATGGAGCAGATGGCCAAGCAGAGCTCCCCCCAAAACGGATTCCAGATTCCCATTCGTTGGCTTGCTTCTACATTTAAATTCTGCATTTCAGCCAAGGACATGAGGTAGGAGGCGTTGGGCTGAGATGCAATTCAGAGGCATAGCCCTTGGATACCACTTTAACCTTTTGTGTCTACGTCGTACAGAATTGTTTGATTTGTCGTTCGGTTGCTGTTAGAATCCCCTACTAAAAACGATGAACGCACTCCCCCGGACAGGGCTCAAGAAATCTTACATTCCTCCCCAAATGACAAATGGCACAATTCCTGAGATCAGCGGTTCCCCACCTTGAATCCCCAGGTGTTCTTGGACTACAATGCCCAGAAGCCTTCTCCCGGGATTTCCGGGTGTTGTAGTCCAAGAACACCTGGGGAACCCAGGTTGGGAATCACTACCGCAGCGTGAAGCCGGGGAACGTGGCGTGAAACCAAACTGCTCTAGCTCTCCAGTGTAAACCTGCTCGTGCTCTACCCACTCTACTCTACTCCCCACTGACCTTGGCATCAAAGGACAACCGGGAGGTGGGGATATTTTCGGGGCCACCGTGGACATCGAAATGCTTGCAGCCAGCGCTGGCCTTGACGTAACGAGGGTGGTCGCCCTGCAGGCCCTTCACGAAAGCCACCCCCAGCTCTGCGGTCAGGAATGGGTCCTCCCCATAAGTCTCCTACGGGACAGAGGGGCAGACATCTGGTTAACTTCATTTTTAGAAACACATATAGTTCTAGGCTTTTTCTTTTCATTAAAAAAATATGTATTTTCAGACCGTGGATAAGTGAATCAGCGGATACTGATCTCGCCGATAAAGGGGTCCTACTGTACCTTTGGTCGGGGGAATCTCCCCACAGGGGTCCGTGAAACCTGGGGAGCATTTCGGTGCGGGGGGAAAAAACCTAAGGGCCCTTCTAAGTTTGATTAGCTTAAACAAAACCAGATTCATGTCGTGAGTACGGAAAGAACAAAAAAAACTAAAATAAGTTTTAAAAATAAGATAAAATAAAGAAGAAGAAAGGAGGGGAAGGAAAAAAAAAAGAAAAAATGTGAGGAATCATCCCAATACTCTCTAAGCTTGAAATGCAAAATGTAATTATTTCACAATCCATATTTGTCCCTTTTATGACCACTTTACGTGGCACTGCCCCAGCCCTACAAGACTGTCTACAGCCCCCCCTTTTTTTGGAGCCCTTCGCACCTGGTTCCTGCCCCACAGCGGGTGGCGCATGATGTTCAACACGGGGCTGAAGCAGCTGAGGCCGGTGTGGTCCTCGTAGTTGCCGATGGAGACAAAGTGGTTGTGTTTGGCCCGGACCTCCGTGGCCGTGGCGTTGGCCACCCTGTAGATGAGCGGAGGGCTGGCCGGAGAGAGAAGGAGTGGTCAAGAGAAGAGGAAATGCTCTTTTAGCTCTATTTAGAATGGCGAGGGGTCGAACCCACAGCCAAGTCATCATCCCTTCAGAACGCATCCCACCACGCACTCCAGCGCCCTTCTCAAAGACCTCCAAGCGAAGCGGGAAGGGGACTGGATGGCCCTTTTGATGTGTTGGCCCGGGTTGTCTACGCCCCATCTTTTGGGGGCAGCCGTACCTGAAAGAGGCCGCCAAGCCCAGGGCTTGGGGGAAAGCGGTGGCCCAGCCCGGCGCCTCCGCGTCCCCACGCAGGCACTCCGTGTTCCAGTTGTAGGGCCCGATGCCCAGGCGCTTAATGGGCGGCGCCGGGCCGTTGGCTTTGGCGCCCCCTCTCGCCATCTGTGGGTGGAGGAAAACGAGAGGTTCGGTCCACTCCCAGACACACACCCCCCCAGCTCCGCAAAGGGTTCCCCGATCGCTTGCGATCAATGCTCTAATTGCGAACCGCTCCCTCGTTCTCCTTCCGGTCCTTGAACATCCGGGTTCCACGTCCGGAACCGTGGAGATCCGGGGTTTTGGACGAGGACGACTCCCGGAATTCCCCAGGCGGCTAAGCTCCGAGGTCCGCCCTCATCGTTTTTTTCCCATGGTTAAGGATGTCTTAAGACCACTCATGCCTTTCTCACCCTACAATCTATATATCCTGTGGCCCAGAGGTCAATAACGTGACCCAACCTTGTGCTCCTGCTCGGCGCGGCCCCTGTTCCTCCCAGTTTTACATTTTTAAAAATCAGAACAGGTCTCCCGTCTTTCTCTGACACCAAAAGACCTCCAAGCTCAAGTGATAGGGTATAAGACCTCTAACCCTCGTGCGATATAAGCAGCTCTACTGGCGGCCGATCCGTTTCCAGGCACAATTCAAAAGGATGGTTCTAACCTATAAAGCCGCTAAATGGCTTGGATCCGAGCGATCTCAAGGACTCCCATGATGAGCCTGCTCAGGTGTTAAGATCATCAGGGGAGGCCTTTCTCTTGATCCACCTTCCCAGGTGTGTTTGGTGGGGACACAGGAGCCTTTTCTTGTGTTTGCTCCATTAGACGTTGGAACTCCTTCCCACTGGAAGCCAGCCTGGTCCTGTCTTTGCTGTCTATCTGCAAGCAGGTGAAGGCCTTTCTCTTGAGATGGGCTTCCCCTCAGTGGCTGTCTGTTTGGGAGGGGTTTTTAGATGGGTGGCTGCACCTGACTGCTTGGAATGGATCTTAAATGCTCTGTTTCCTGTATTTTAGCGTGACTTTTGATCCTTTATAGTAATTTGTACACGTGCTTTTTTAAAAGCTTTAAATATTGTCTTTTAATGACATAAGCTGCCTCGAGTCCTTTTTAAGGGTGGATTAAAAATATGACAAACAAACAAACAAAAAATAAATTCTCCGTTGTCTTTTCCACCTCATTCCTGACACGACCCTGACCGAGCCCCCCCCATCTCATACCTGCAGCACCATCTCGTCCAGCGTCAGCCTGTTCACCAGGTCGTCCAGCCGTTCTTCCCAGGGCAAGGTGGGGTCCCTGAAGGGGAAGTCCTGGCCCCAGCTCAGCGGGGCCAACAGGAGTACGGCGCTGAGATACGGCACAGCCATGGCTTCTAGAGAAGCAAAGGAAAAAAGCGTCACCTAGCAGGCCTTCCAGAGACTCAAAGCCCACCTCCTTTCCTCCCACCCTAAAATGACTTTTTCTTCTTCGGGGTGGCATTTTGATGGAAGACGGGACCCTCCGCTCTGGATCTTCCAAAGATTCGAACCCCGACCAAAATACGAAGCAGGGGGTGAAAGAAGACAGGGGGAGAAAAATGCAAGGACACAACCTCTGACCCCACTCCAGGCGCTCCATCTTTGTGTTTATAGGGTCCCGATGGTTATTGTTATGTGTCCTCCAAGCCCCAACGGAGGTAAGAGCGCTTTCAAGGCACGTGAGATATTTGAGGAGGGGTTTGACCAGCTCTGCAGCCCCAGTGAATTTCCGTGGCTGAGCGGGCATTCGAACCTGAATCTTCTGGGTCCATCACTCTATCCACTACACCAGGGGTCCCCTCCAGACGTTCTTGGACTTCAACCCCCAGAAATCCTGACCAGCAGAGCTAGTGGTGATGAAGGCTTCTGGGAGTTGTAGTCCAAGAACATCTGGAGGCCCAAGGTTGGGGACCACTGTGACTACACCACTCTGGATCTCTCAAAACTCTCCTTTTTCCTTGCTCAGCTCATTTTAGTCCCCAGGAACATCCCGCTGTCTCTTCGCAAATTGCACCTTCCACTCCGGCCGAGCGTCCCTCAGGGATCTGGGACTAAATTCATATTATTATTGATCTCCTGTTTATTGCAAAGCCTAAGTTTTCCCCCTGAGATAAGGATTTCGGGGGAGGTCTCTTTGATCTCCTTCCGAAGTGCGTCAACCCCAGACAACTACCCACGCTTACCTGCCAGCAAGACCGGCCCAGATGATGGGGACGGAGTGCAGGGGGGACTTTTGCCCGCTGCTGTCAGGTTTGCTCCCCCCCTCCGTCCGTGGTTGCCGTATCCCACAGAACTTAGAAAAGTTACTTTTTTCTTTTTTTTGGCCCGATCCGAAGCAGCGGGCGCCTTTGCACCGATCCTGCGCCCCTTGCGCCTAAGCTCACTGTGCGTGTGTGTGTGTGTGTGTGTGTGTGTGTGTCCACACTTGCCTTCTTCCCGCAAGCTCACGCAAGTTGCAACATCAGCCCCGCGAGGCGCAACCCACGCAACCCTCCCGCTCCCGGGCCCGATCCTGCCCTGCCTGCTCGCCCTCCTCCGCAGGGGTTTTGCAAGCCTTCCGCTCCCCTCGTTGCGCGCTTTCCACCCCGCGGGATCGGCTCCTCCTCTTTCCCGGCTTCCCAAGGCACCCGCGCGGCCAGGGAGGAGGAGGAGGAGGATCGGGGAACCTCCCGGCCTTGGGCGGACCTTCGGGAGGAGACGCGGCGCTTCTTCTTTCCTTGCGCAAAAAACCGCCTCCTTCGGCGGCTCTTCCAGCTGCTGTCCCCGGATCGGCCGCCAGAGGGCGAGAACAGCTGCCTTTAGGATCGCGACTTGCGTGCGTGGGGGGGGGGGAAGGCGGAGAAAATTTTC